CCTTATCTAACATATACATAGACATAGACACAGTGTCCAAGTCTCCGATCTACCTTATCTAACATAGACATAGAGATAGACACAGTGTCCAAGTCTCCGATCTACCTTATCTAACAAAGACATAGAGACAGACACAGTGTCCAAGTCTCCGATCTACCTTTTCTCAGATAGGCATACACATGGACACAGTGTCCAAGTCTCCGCTCTACCTGATCTAACATATACATAGACATAGACACAGTGTCCAAGTCTCCGATCTACCTTATCTAACAAAGACATACACATAGACACAGTGTCCCAGTCTCCGATCTACCTTATCTAACATAGACACAGACATAGACACAGTGTCCAAGTCTCCGATCTACCTCATCTAACAAAGACACAGACATAGACACAGTGTCCAAGACTCCGATCTACCTTATCTAACATAGAGATAGACACAGTGTCCAAGTATCCGATCTACCTTATCTCGCAAAGACATAGACATATACACAGTGTCCAAGTCTCCGATCTACCTTATCTAACATAGACATAGACATATACATAGACATAGACACAGTGTCCAAGTCTCCGATCTACCTTATCTAACAAAGACATAGACATAGACACAGTGTCCAAGTCTCCGATCTACCTTATCTAACATATACATAGACATAGACACAGTGTCCAAGTCTCCGATCTACCTTATCTAACATATACATAGACATAGACACAGTGTCCAAGTCTCCGATCTACCTTATCTAACAAAGACATAGAGATAGACACAGTGTCCAAGTCTCTGCACGACCTTATCTAACAAAGACATAGACATAGACACAGTGTCCAAGTCTCCGATCTACCTTATCTGACATACACATAGACATAGACACAGTGTCCAAGTCTCCGATCTACCTGATCTAACATATACATAGACATAGACACAGTGTCCAAGTCTCCGATCTACCTTATCTAACAAAGACATAGACATAGACACAGTGTCAAAATCTCCGATCTACCTTATCTAACATATACATAGACATAGACACAGTGTCCAAGTCTCCGATCTACCTTATCTAACAAAGACATAGACATAGACACAGTGTCCAAGTCTCCGATCTACCTTATCTAACATATACATAGACATAGACACAGTGTCCAAATCTCCGATCTACCTTATCTAACATATACATAGACATAGACACAGTGTCCAAGTCTCCGATCTACCTTATCTAACATAGACATAGAGATAGACACAGTGTCCAAGTCTCCGATCTACCTTATCTAACAAAGACATAGAGACAGACACAGTGTCCAAGTCTCCGATCTACCTTTTCTCAGATAGGCATACACATGGACACAGTGTCCAAGTCTCCGCTCTACCTGATCTAACATATACATAGACATAGACACAGTGTCCAAGTCTCCGATCTACCTTATCTAACAAAGACATAGACATAGACACAGTGTCCAAGTCTCCGATCTACCTTATCTAACATAGACACAGACATAGACACAGTGTCCAAGTCTCCGATCTACCTCATCTAACAAAGACACAGACATAGACACAGTGTCCAAGACTCCGATCTACCTTATCTAACATAGAGATAGACACAGTGTCCAAGTATCCGATCTACCTTATCTCGCAAAGACATAGACATATACACAGTGTCCAAGTCTCCGATCTACCTTATCTAACATAGACATAGACATATACATAGACATAGACACAGTGTCCAAGTCTCCGATCTACCTTATCTAACAAAGACACAGACATAGACACAGTGTCCAAGTCTCCGATCTACCTTATCTAACATATACATAGACATAGACACAGTGTCCAAATCTCCGATCTACCTTATCTAACATATACATAGACATAGACACAGTGTCCAAGTCTCCGATCTACCTTATCTAACATAGACATAGAGATAGACACAGTGTCCAAGTCTCCGATCTACCTTATCTAACAAAGACATAGAGACAGACACAGTGTCCAAGTCTCCGATCTACCTTTTCTCAGATAGGCATACACATGGACACAGTGTCCAAGTCTCCGCTCTACCTGATCTAACATATACATAGACATAGACACAGTGTCCAAGTCTCCGATCTACCTTATCTAACAAAGACATACACATAGACACAGTGTCCCAGTCTCCGATCTACCTTATCTAACATAGACACAGACATAGACACAGTGTCCAAGTCTCCGATCTACCTCATCTAACAAAGACACAGACATAGACACAGTGTCCAAGACTCCGATCTACCTTATCTAACATAGAGATAGACACAGTGTCCAAGTATCCGATCTACCTTATCTCGCAAAGACATAGACATATACACAGTGTCCAAGTCTCCGATCTACCTTATCTAACATAGACATAGACATATACATAGACATAGACACAGTGTCCAAGTCTCCGATCTACCTTATCTAACAAAGACATAGACATAGACACAGTGTCCAAGTCTCCGATCTACCTTATCTAACATATACATAGACATAGACACAGTGTCCAAGTCTCCGATCTACCTTATCTAACATATACATAGACATAGACACAGTGTCCAAGTCTCCGATCTACCTTATCTAACAAAGACATAGAGATAGACACAGTGTCCAAGTCTCTGCACGACCTTATCTAACAACGACATAGACATAGACACAGTGTCCAAGTCTCCGATCTACCTTATCTGACATACACATAGACATAGACACAGTGTCCAAGTCTCCGATCTACCTGATCTAACATATACATAGACATAGACACAGTGTCCAAGTCTCCGATCTACCTTATCTAACAAAGACATAGACATAGACACAGTGTCAAAATCTCCGATCTACCTTATCTAACATATACATAGACATAGACACAGTGTCCAAGTCTCCGATCTACCTTATCTAACAAAGACATAGACATAGACACAGTGTCCAAGTCTCCGATCTACCTTATCTAACATATACATAGACATAGACACAGTGTCCAAATCTCCGATCTACCTTATCTAACATATACATAGACATAGACACAGTGTCCAAGTCTCCGATCTACCTTATCTAACATAGACATAGAGATAGACACAGTGTCCAAGTCTCCGATCTACCTTATCTAACAAAGACATAGAGACAGACACAGTGTCCAAGTCTCCGATCTACCTTTTCTCAGATAGGCATACACATGGACACAGTGTCCAAGTCTCCGCTCTACCTGATCTAACATATACATAGACATAGACACAGTGTCCAAGTCTCCGATCTACCTTATCTAACAAAGACATAGACATAGACACAGTGTCCAAGTCTCCGATCTACCTTATCTAACATAGACACAGACATAGACACAGTGTCCAAGTCTCCGATCTACCTCATCTAACAAAGACACAGACATAGACACAGTGTCCAAGACTCCGATCTACCTTATCTAACATAGAGATAGACACAGTGTCCAAGTATCCGATCTACCTTATCTCGCAAAGACATAGACATATACACAGTGTCCAAGTCTCCGATCTACCTTATCTAACATAGACATAGACATATACATAGACATAGACACAGTGTCCAAGTCTCCGATCTACCTTATCTAACAAAGACACAGACATAGACACAGTGTCCAAGTCTCCGATCTACCTTATCTAACATATACATAGACATAGACACAGTGTCCAAGTCTCCGATCTACCTTATCTAACATATACATAGACATAGACACAGTGTCCAAGTCTCCGATCTACCTTATCTAACAAAGACATAGAGATAGACACAGTGTCCAAGTCTCCGCACGACCTTATCTAACAAAGACATAGACATAGACACAGTGTCCAAGTCTCCGATCTACCTTATCTGACATACACATAGACATAGACACAGTGTCCAAGTCTCCGATCTACCTGATCTAACATATACATAGACATAGACACAGTGTCCAAGTCTCCGATCTACCTTATCTAACAAAGACATAGACATAGACACAGTGTCCAAGTCTCCGATCTACCTTATCTAACATATACATAGACATAGACACAGTGTCCAAATCTCCGATCTACCTTATCTTACATATACATAGACATAGACACAGTGTCCAAGTCTCCGATCTACCTTATCTAACATAGACATAGAGATAGACACAGTGTCCAAGTCTCCGATCTACCTTATCTAACAAAGACATAGAGACAGACACAGTGTCCAAGTCTCCGATCTACCTTATCTCAGATAGGCATACACATGGACACAGTGTCCAAGTCTCCGATCTACCTGATCTAAAATATACATAGACATAGACACAGTGTCCAAGTCTCCGATCTACCTCATCTAACAAAGACATAGACATAGACACAGTGTCCAAGTCTCCGATCTACCTTATCTAACATAGACACAGACATAGACACAGTGTCCAAGTCTCCGATCTACCTCATCTAACAAAGACACAGACATAGACACAGTGTCCAAGACTCCGATCTACCTTATCTAACATAGAGATAGACACAGTATCCAAGTACCCGATCTACCTTATCTCACAAAGACATAGACACAGTGTCCAAGTATCCGATCTACCTAATCTCACAAAGACACAGACATAGACACAGTGTCCAAGTCTCCGATCTACCTAATCTAACATATACATAGACATAGACACAGTGTCCAAGTCTCCGATCTACCTTATCTAACATATACATAGACATAGACACAGTTTCCAAGTCTCCGTTCTACCTTATCTAACATTTACATAGACATAGAGACAGTGTCCAAGTCTCCGATCTACCTTATCTAACATATACATAGACATAGACACAGTTTCCAAGTCTCCGATCTACCTCATCTAACATAGACATAGACATATACATAGACATGGACACAGTGTTCAAGTCTCCGATCTACCTTATCTAACATAGACATAGACATAGACACAGTGTCCAAGTCTCCGATCTACCTTATCTCACAGGGAATTACCTGGCGTTATAGTATAAAGTCTCCCTGTGTCCCGTGATCAGCACGGATAAATTACAAATCAACTCACCCTGTTCTATGTAGGTAATATAAGACAAGCACACATCCAATTAACAGCAGCCCAACTCCTATAGCCACGCCCACGCCGGTCCCTGCATTCATCCCGGTTCCTGTAACAAACACATACATCTTGATAATCTGTGAATCAGTAAACACACACATCTTGATAATCTGTGGATAAGTAAACACATACATCTTGATAATCTGTGAATCAGTAAACACACACATCTTGATAATCTGTGGATAAGTAAACACATACATCTTGATAATCTGTGAATCAGTAAACACACACATCTTGATAATCTGTGGATCAGTAAACACACACATCTTGATAATCTGTGAATCAGTAAACACACACATCTTGATAATCTGTGAATCAGTAAACACACACATCTTGATAATCTGTGGATCAGTAAACACACACATCTTGATAATCTGTGAATCAGTAAACACACACATCTTGATAATCTGTGAATCTGTAAACACACACATCTTGATAATCTGTGGATCAGTAAACACACACATCTTGATAATCTGCGAATCAGTAAACACACACATATTGATAATCTGTGAATCAGTAAACACACACATCTTGATAATCTGTGAATCAGTAAACACACACATCTTGATAATCTGTGAATCTGTAAACACACACATCTTGATAATCTGTGGATCAGTAAACACATACATCTTGATAATCTGTGAATCAGTAAACACACACATATTGATAATCTGTGAATCAGTAAACACACACATCTTGATAATCTGTGAATCAGTAAACACACATCTTGATAATCTGTGGATCAGTAAACACATACATCTTGATAATCTGTGAATCAGTAAACATATACATCCTGATAATCTGTGGATCAGTAAACATATACATCTTAATAATCTGTGGATAAGTAAACACATACATCTTAATAATCTGAGGATCAGTAAACACATACACCTTGATAATCTGTGAATCAGTAAACACATACACCTTGTTAATCTGTGGATAAGTAAACACATACACCTTGATAATCTGTGGATCAGTAAACACATACACCTTGATAATCTGTGGATCAGTAAACACATACACCTTGATAATCTGTGGATCAGTAAACACATACACCTTGATAATCTGTGGATCAGTAAACACATACATCTTGTTAAACTGAGGATCAGTAAACACATACACCTTGATAATCTGTGAGTCAGAAAGTAATCGTCCGCTGATCAGTTATCGGCAAATCAACAGCTGATCCTGGTTAGTACAGGACAAGTAACAGTGAACAATCCATCGTTCTGATCATGTACAAGCAGTGCATGATGGGAGCTCTGTTATTTCGAACTATTTAAACAACACTTCCTTGTAGAAACTGTATAAGGCCACAGTCATTTGTTTTTTTTCAGTGTCTGGATTTCTTTGCAGTTCGGATTTCCAACAAATATAAAATAACATCTCAAATATTTCTTGTTACTTCCTCTCGCGATTCGTTATAACTCGTTTTGTTTTTAAGGTACATATTCAACATGTTTTAATGTTAGTATGTACATACTTATTTACATTGTAAAGCGTGTGGGCTTGAATTGCATTCTAGTTTGTCATGTAGTTTATACTTATATACAAGCTCTATCGGATGGGACAAAGAGATAAAGATGGATTTCGAATGAATGTTGTTAAAAGCCGCAGTTAGCACTTTTCCAGTTATTCAAGTCACAGAACTCTCCCTTCACATATGTGCTGTTGCGTCAGGCATGCGCCACTAGGCTCCCCGTCAACAAGGTCAATGCTATTGTGGTCTGTGGCCTATTGTATCCTTTACTTCCATCAAAGAGCATTGGCGTTTTTAATATACAATTGGGTAGAGTATGACGTGACGTCAATCCTCACGCCATGACGTGTTTTGAACATGTTGTGAAATGATAACGAAGTCATCCGGCTTACAGGGGTAAAAAAAACTGCACACATGTCGGGCAGCGAGAGGGGGGATGTGGCGCATTAACCAGTGGAAGGTAGGGGTGTGTGAACGAGAGGGAGAAAGGGGTACATTCACCAGAGGAAGAATGAGGTACATTCACCAGAGGAAGGTGGAGGTGCGTTTGCAAGAAGGAGAAGGGGATGAGTTCACGCGAGGGAGAAGAGTGCATTCACGAGAAGTAGTATGGAGTGCGTTCATCAGAGGGAGAAGTGAGTGAGTTTACGAGAGGGAGAAACGTGTGCATTCACGAGAAGGAAAAAGAGATGCGTTCACAAGAAGGAGAAGGCGTGCGTGTTGACGAGATGGAGAAAGGGGAGCTTGTCAAAGAGAGGGAGAAGTGTGCTTGTTGAGGAGAGGGAGAAGTGTTCTTGTTGAGGAGAGGGAGAAGTGTTCTTGTTGAGGAGAGGGAGAAGTGTGCTTGTTGAGGAGAGGGAAAAGTGTGCTTGTTTAGGAGAGGGAGAAGTGTGCTTGTTGAGGAGAGGGAGAAGTGTGCTTGTTGAGGAGAGGGAGAAGTGTGCTTGTTGAGGAGAGGGAGAAGTGTGCTTGTTGAGGAGAGGGAGAAGTGTGCTTGTTGAGGAGAGGGAGAAGTGTGCTTGTTGAGGAGAGGGAGAAGTGTGCTTGTTGAGGAGAGGGCGTACCGTGTGAATGGTAGGATTCAAAGTCAAGTTTCGGCATCACCTGATGTACACCGAGCCGTGGAGACGTGTTGCGATGCATAGAAAACATATATACATAGGTGCTCGAGATATTTGGTATCACACAAATAGTGATAGTGAGTGAGTGAGTGAGTGAGTGACTGACTGAACTATGATATATTATCAGATTACGAAATATCTGACATATGTACAGCTATTTAGGTACCTAATAGCATATCATTAGCACCACAGAGTCTTGATTGATCAAATCAAAACTACGACGTATATAAAATTGTGTCCAAACGTTTGCAATTATAAAGTGCATTAAATTAAATGTGATGTTAATTGTATATATGTATACTATGTTTGTCTATTTCTAATTCGGCAACACGACAGGTTTTTTTTAACATGAGCTAGTTTTTAGCCGCAGCTGATGTTTTAGGAAACCCATATTCAGAATTAACTATGCTCAAGTACGTATTGATTTTCATTCCGAAACTCACAAGCGTAAGAAAGGAATACGTTTAGTTTTAATTTTCAACTATTTCAAGGCTTTCAGCAACGCTTTTCATCATGCACCTTGACAACTACACGACCTGAAGTGCATTTGGTGCATACATGGATAACAACATTTACGTGACACGCATTTGTGTCTTAAAAGGAGTTCCATGAATAGTTTCTGTGACAGCCCGGGCACGCCGAGCTGTATGGGCAAGGTCAAGGCTGTTCACCTCACCTGCCTCAGCATCACGACACACACCTGCATCCGGGTTTGTTACGATGACGTGAATGTAAACTTGCTTATCCGATGTCTGTACATGTGACCGACTTTCTTCACAATACATCAGTGTATCTGAACAACCCCTGCTTGAAGAGACACGCTCAATGGGCTGCTTCAGTTGGAGTAAATATGCAACGCGTTGTTCGATGAGAGGAAACGCGTTGTTCGATGGAGGAATGTAGTGTGCTTGAAAAGTTAACAATGTTTGCTCTGCTTTCAATATCGTTTCTCGTGTCGTCCAATATCGGAGTCAGTTTGTTAAAACGTGGGCGTACTATTTTTCCCATCTGTACCAGATAAAAAAGACAAAAAAACGCCTCATCTGTAACGTATCTAGATCTATGCATAAAGATTCTCCGGGAAAACAAACTCTCCAATTTATAACAAGAGGGGTGACAAAATCAGTTACTGCTACTTCTATTTCGAACAATATTCTTGCTAAGACAATTCAAAGAGCGACATTGTTTGATCAAGCTTACAACATACAGTAAGGCTTTCAAAACGTCTTTTGGTGGAAGATCTTTCCTAAGAGAAAATCGGTGACAAAAATTATGTCCGATGCAATTTCGCTTTTTAACCTAACTGTGTGTATGAATTCGTTTGTTTTTTTCAGGGGAACAACTGACTTGCCTTTGCATGTGTTTTGTTACGGGTTCCACCGATGGGCAGGGTAGGCTCACCTTGGCTCCAGATGAGACATAACATGGGAAGAGGCTATTACATATCATTACGGAGGTTATCACGAGAGTGTTTTTTGGGATGTTAAATATCCTACATTAGGAATAAACATTGTTTTTAGCGAGACTTGGTTTATTCCTAATACAGGCTATTTACCATCCCCAAGCACCAGCGTGATAATCTCTTTATTATATAATGACATTCTTCAATTCTGTACTCGAAAAATCTCTGACCATCTCTCACAAACATGACCTAAACATTGCAAGTTTTCCTGGAATGTGAGAAGTGCTCTATTTTACGTCAGAAGGTAAGTGATATGTCAGTCGGACAGTGACAACAGTCAATGTAGTTCCAACTGAAACCCGTTTCGTATAGAGTGGGGTTTCTAGATATAGGCAAAACAATGATTGCCTACACAAATTGTTTCTGCTTTCCTTTCGCGGCAATCCATCCGTCTGTTTGCTAAGATAACTGCCCTTTGTCAAAGGGAAGCTACTCTATCCCTAGTCTATGAGACGTCACGATTGTTGACAGTCTGTCTGTCCTGTCATAACATGACGAAGTGCAGTCAGATGTCCACACAGCGACAACACGAAACAGGGTGAACATTCGGACATATTTCGGCCAAATCCAACTTTTATCATTTGTGGAAAAGGTTCCAAGTCGCAGGGGTCTACAAGCACTAATGAGGAAACTGATCCTGCTTGGCTAGTGTCCTCACAAAAGTGTTTAAGTTGCCAAAACTTGTAAAATGCCTTAGCTACGTCACAGTCAGACACTGATTTTCAGTACATTAGACTATTTTTATGATAATGATAGCAATTATTCCAGTACTTCCTCCAGATTCCCGATGGTTAATTCTGACTCGATCGAATGACAAGGGCGACGCCATGTTTCTTTGTAAACACTGAAAGTTGTTCCTACTTGACCTTTGATATTTGCATCTCTATCCGCATGATCGTTTTTATCCCTTGGCTTTATCCTGTCGGGAAACCTACTCTTTATGTGATAAATAGCCTGTATCCAACACCATCCGCTGGTTGTTATTTGTATTCCCAACACTGGAACTACCATGTTATTACGTGTCTAGCTTTGTCCTCGGCGACCGTAAACCTACGCCAGCATACAGTCTACAGTCTTTATGTACTACACATGGAGACCTGGGATGATGCATTTGGTTGTAAAGTTCAGTTACACATTATTGCATCTTGAGTAATATACTTCTGACGGACACCGGTGACGGGACCATTGTTATTGTTCTGACTGCTTCTGACGGACACCGGTGAGGGAACCATTGTTATTGTTCTGACTACTTCTGACGGACAACTTTGAGAAGACCATTGTTATTGTTCTGACTACTTCTGACGGACACCGGTGAGGGAACCATTGTTATTGTTCTGACTACTTCTGACGGACAACTTTGATGGGACCATTGTTATTGTTCTGGCTGCCTCTGACGGGCAACGTTGAGGGGACCATTGTTATTGTTCTGGCTGCCTCTGACGGACAACGTTAAGGGGACCATTGTTATTGTTCTGGCTGCCTCTGACGGACAACGTTAAGGGGACCATTGTTATTGTTCTGGCTGCCTCTGACGGACAACGTTAAGGGGACCATTGTTATTGTTCTGGCTGCCTCTGACGGGCAACGTTGAGGGGACCATTGTTATTGTTCTGGCTGCCTCTGACGGACAACGTTAAGGTGACCATTGTTATTGTTCTGGCTGCCTCTGACGGACAACGTTAAGGGGACCATTGTTATTGTTCTGGCTGCCTCTGACGGGCAACGTTGAGGGGACCATTGTTATTGTTCTGGCTGCCTCTGACGGACAACTTTGATGGGACCATTGTTATTGTTCTGGCTGCCTCTGACGGACAACGTTGAGGGGACCATTGTTATTGTTCTGGCTGCCTCTGACGGACAACTTTGATGGGACCATTGTTATTGTTCTGGCTGCCTCTGACGGACAACGTTAAGGTGACCATTGTTATTGTTCTGGCTGCCTCTGACGGACAACGTTAAGGTGACCATTGTTATTGTTCTGGCTGCCTCTGATGGGCAACGTTAAGGTGACCATTGTTATTGTTCTGGCTGCCTCTGATGGGCAACGTTGAGGTGACCATTGTTATTGTTCTGACTGCCTCTGATGGGCAACGTTAAGGGGACCATTGTTATTGTTCTGGCTGCCTCTGATGGGCAACGTTAAGGGGACCATTGTTATTGTTCTGGCTGCCTCTGATGGGCAACGTTAAGGGGACCATTGTTATTGTTCTGGCTGCCTCTGATGGGCAACGTTAAGGGGACCATTGTTATTGTTCTGGCTGCCTCTGATGGGCAACGTTGAGGTGACCATTGTTATTGTTCTGGCTGCCTCTGATGGGCAACGTTAAGGGGACCATTGTTATTGTTCTGGCTGCCTCTGATGGGCAACGTTAAGGTGACCATTGTTATTGTTCTGGCTGCCTCTGATGGGCAACGTTGAGGGGACCATTGTTATTGTTCTGGCTGCCTCTGACGGGCAACGTTGAGGGGACCATTGTTATTGTTCTGGCTGCCTCTGACGGACAACTTTGATGGGACCATTGTTATTGTTCTGGCTGCCTCTGACGGGCAACGTTGAGGTGACCATTGTTATTGTTCTGGCTGCCTCTGATGGGCAACGTTAAGGGGACCATTGTTATTGTTCTGGCTGCCTCTGATGGGCAACGTTGAGGTGACCATTGTTATTGTTCTGGCTGCCTCTGATGGGCAACGTTAAGGGGACCATTGTTATTGTTCTGGCTGCCTCTGACGGGCAACGTTGAGGGGACCATTGTTATTGTTCTGGCTGCCTCTGACGGACAACTTTGATGGGACCATTGTTATTGTTCTGGCTGCCTCTGACGGACAACGTTAAGGGGACCATTGTTATTGTTCTGGCTGCCTCTGACGGACAACGTTGAGGTGACCATTGTTATTGTTCTGGCTGCCTCTGATGGGCAACGTTAAGGGGACCATTGTTATTGTTCTGACTGCCTCTGACGGGCAACGTTAAGGGGACCATTGTTATTGTTCTGACTGCCTCTGACGGGCAACGTTGAGGGGACCATTGTTATTGTTCTGACTGCCTCTGACGGGCAACGTTAAGGGAACCATTGTTATTGTTCTGACTGCCTCTGACGGGCAACGTTAAGGGAACCATTGTTATTGTTCTGACTGCCTCTGACGGGCAACGTTAAGGGGACCATTGTTATTGTTCTGACTACTACTAACGGACACCGATGAGGGGACCATTGTTATTGTTCTGACTACTTCTGACGGACACCGGTGAGGGGACAAGTGCATTGATGACGGTGTTCTCTCTGACGGCTCTCTCACCATACATAGGGATGTCCATTATCTGTGCCACTAAATACAGTCAGAGTTTGTGACCTTTGTCTTTGACATTATCATTTCAGAATATGGTGGGAAAATGGTAAGGTGACGATGTCGTGAAATGGGGTTTAACGATGTATCACATGTGCAGATGGGACGTACCAGAGATGGGGAGAAGTTACTATATTTACCGGGTGGATAACCTGACGTCGTACTGATGGAAGACTTCAGTGTAGGGGATGTTGTCGATGTTGCCGTGGTGTTGCTGGAACTGCCATCATCCGCGCTAGTGCTGCCATCTGGAGTTGGCTCAGAGGTCTCAGACATCTACGTATCACAGTCAGGGGTGTGCTGAAAACACCACACTTGTTCCTTTAAAGCCGTGTTATACAACCTGCATAGTGAGTAGACACCTTAAGGTTTTCATTCTAATATTGGCCACATGTATACGAACTAAATCTGTCTGTCTGAGGGCGGTTGGGTATGCAGTAGACGGACGGTATGAGGGTGGTGGGGTATGGGGCAGACGGAACAGTATGAGGGTGGTGGGGTATGGGGTAGACAGAATGAGGGTGGTGGGGTATGGGGTAGACAGAGTGAGGTTGGTTGGGTATGGGGTAGACGGAACAGTTTGAGGTGTGTGTGTGTGGGGGGGGGGGGGGGGGGGGGGGGTGAAGGGGTTGACAAAATGAGGGTGGTGGGGTATGGGATAGACAGAATGAGGGTGCTGGGGTATGGGGTAGGTAGAATGAGGGTGCTGGGGCATGGGGTAGACAGAATGAGGGTGCTGGGGTATAGGGTATACTGAATGAGGGTGGTGGGGTATGGGGTAGACGGAACATTATGAGGGTGGTGGGGTATGGGGTAGACAGAATGAGGGTGCTGGGGTTTGGGGTAGACGGAAAAGTATGAGGGTGGTGGGATATGCAGAAGACGGAATGAGGGTGGTGGGGTAGGCAGTAGACGGAGTGAGTGAGTGAGTGAGTTTGGTTTAACGCCGTTTTTAACATTATTCCAGTTATATCACGGCGTGTCAGCTTAATGTGGGAGGAAAGCCCGAAGTGATGCAAGTCTCAGACGTTTACCACTTCGGTGAAAAACACAAGAACGGGTATGGTGCTGACAAACCCAGAAACAAAATTGGGGTGAACCGGGATTCGAACCTACAACCATAGGTTATCGGCGTGCCCAAGGGACGCAACTCTGCACAGCGAACCGCGGCGCCTTAGACGACTGGGCCACCCGTGCCCCCACCAGTAGACTGAACAATATGAGGGTGGTGGGGTAGGCAGTAGACGGAAAAGTATGAGGGTGGTGGGGTATGCAGTAGACGGAACAATATGAGTGTGGTGGGGTATGGATTAGACAATATGATTGTGGTGGGGTATGGGTTAGACGGAACAGTATGAGGGTTGTTGGATATGCAGAAGACAGACAAGTATGAGGGTGGTGGGATATCGAGTAGACAGTATGAGGTTGGTGGGGTATGGAGTAGACGGAACAGTATGAGGCTGGTGGGGTATGGGGTAGAGGGAATAGTATGAGGCTGGTGGGGTATGGGGTAGAGGGAATAGTATGAGGCTGGTGGGGTATGGGGTAGAGGGAATAGTATGAGGGTGGTGGGGTATGGGGTAGAGGGAATAGTATGAGGGTGGTGGGGTATGGGGTAGAGGGAATAGTATGAGGCTGGTGGGGTATGGGGTAGAGGGAATAGTATGAGGGTGGTGGGGTATGGGGTAGAGGGAATAGTATGAGGGTGGTGGGGTATGGGGTAGAGGGAATAGTATGACGCTGGTGGGGTATGGAGTAGACGGAACAGTATGAGGGTGGTGGGGTATGGGGTAGAGGGAACAGTATGAGGCTGGTGGGGTATGGGGTAGAGGGAATAGTATGAGGGTGGTGGGGTATGGAGTAGACGGAACAGTATGAGGCTGGTGGGGTATGTGGTAGAGGGAATAGTATGAGGGCGGTGGCGTATGGGGCAGACAGAATAAGTGTGGTGGGGTATGGAGTAGACGGAACAGAATAAGTGTGGTGGGGTATGGAGTAGACGGAACAGTATGAGGGTGTTTGGGTATGGAGTAGGCAGTATATGGGTGGTGGGGTATGGAGTAGACTTAAGTATGCTTATCGTACGTGTCAACAAAATGTTTCTGGAGGTCATGCTCGGTAACTAGGTTGAAAGCGCGACATAAAATTGTATATCAAACGCGTGCATCTCAATATATCATCCCCCGTCCTAAATAACCCGCACACCCCATACCGTCGGCTGATTGGGTGTCAGTGTATATGCACATTCTCATAAATAACACTAACATCAAATGTGGGTCACTTGATAACGTAGAGTTGTCCGCGAGCTGTGTCGACGGGTAACGTAGTGTAAACAAACAACATCCTGTTTCAAACTTGTTGCTGTCTCGGCGTGTGTCTTGTCGCGTGCTCGCCTTAATGAGGCATGTACATGTATATTCATTGTCTGGAATTCTGGGGCGTTGGCGGACAGGTATTGGACATATGCATACCACGTCATGAGGGAGGTGGGGTATGGGGTAGACAGAATGAGGGAGGTGGGGTATGGGGTAGACGGAACAGTATGAGGTGTGTGTGTGTGTGAGGGGGTATGGGGTAGACAGAATGAGGGTGGTGGGGTAGGCAGTAGACGGAAAAGTATGAGGGTGGTGGGGTAATGGGTAGACAGAATAAGGGAGATGGGGCATGGGGTAGACAGAATGAGGGTGCTGGGGCATGGGGTAGACAGAATGAGAGTGGTGGGGTATGGAGTAGACGGAACAGTATGAGGGTGGTGGGGTAATGGGTAGACAGAATAAGGGAGGTGGGGCATGGGGTAGACAGAATGAGGGTGCTGGGGCATGGGGTAGACAGAATGAGAGTGGTGGGGTATGGAGTAGACGGAACAGTATGAGGGTGGTGGGGTATTGGGTAGACAGAATGAGGGTGGTGGGGTATGGGATAGACGGAACAGTATGAGGGTGGTGGGGTAGGCAGTAGACGGAAAAGTATGAGGGTGGTGGGTTATGCAGAAGACGGAATGAGGGTGGTGGGGTAGGCAGTAGACGGAGTGAGTGAGTGAGTTGGGTTTAACGCCGCTTTTAACATTATTCCAGTTATATCACGGCGTGTCAGCTCAATGTGGGAGGAAAGCCCGAAGCGACGCAGGTCTCAGACGTTTACCACTTTAGTGAAACCCACGAGCACGGGTATGGTGCTGACAACCCCAGAAACATAATTGGGGCGAACCGGGATTCGAACCTACAACCATAGGTTATCGGCGTAAAAAAACACACACAGGGTATTTCGAACGACAGTTATGGGCTTAATGTTTGTGTTCACACAATATAGTCCATCTATTAGCCAATACCAGAATGTTCTTTTGTTCAGTTTTAATTTTTTAATCGAGTATATGTTAAAATATGTTTCGAAGCGTAGTCGTGCCGAAAAGCTCGACTAAGCTGCCTTTTGATTGGCTATTGTCGACTTCTTGTTAGTCATTCCATTGGTCGGTCAGAATTCGCGAAATGTCGGTCTAAAGTGACCCGTAATGGGATGACCAAGATCTCTAGCAGGAACTGACGTAGCATGGACGCCAGACTCCATCAGGGACTATCGTAGCATGGACACCAGACTCAATCAGGGACTGACGTAGCATGGACGCCAGACTCAATCAGGGACTGACGTAGCTTGGACACCAGACTCTATCAGGGACTTGCGTAGCATGGACACCAGACTCTTTCAGGGTCTATCCCAGCATGGACGCCAGACTCTATCAGGGTCTATCCCAGCATGGACGCCAGACTCTATCAGGGACTATCCCAGCATGGACACCAGGCTCTATCAGGGACTATCGTAGCATAGACACCAGACTCTATCAGGGACTTACGTAGCATGGACACCAGACTCTATCAGGGACTATCGTAGCATGCACACCAGACTCTATCAGGGACTATCCCAGCATGGACGCCAGACTCTATCAGGGACTATCCCAGCATGGACGCCAGGCTCTATCAGGGACTGACGTAGCATGGACACCAGACTCTATCAGGGACTGACGTAGCATGGACACCAGACTCTATCAGGGACTATCGTAGCATGGACGCCAGGCTCTATCAGGGACTGACGTAGCATGGAATCACACTCTATCAGGGACTGACGTAGCATGGACTCCAGACCTTATCAGGGACTGACGTAGCATGGACACCAGGCTCTATCAGGGACCGACGTAGCATGGACACCAGACTCTATCAGGGACTATCGTAGCATAGACACCAGACTCTATCAGGGACTTACGTAGCTTGGACACCAGACTCTATCAGGGACTATCGTAGCATGCACACCAGACTCTATCAGGGACTATCCCAGCATGGACGCCAGACTCTATCAGGGACTATCCCAGCATGGACGCCAGGCTCTATCAGGGACTGACGTAGCATGGACACCAGACTCTATCAGGGACTGACGTAGCATGGACACCAGACTCTATCAGGGACTATCGTAGCATGGACGCCAGGCTCTATCAGGGACTGACGTAGCATGGAATCACACTCTATCAGGGACTGACGTAGCATGGACTCCAGACCTTATCAGGGACTGACGTAGCATGGACACCAGGCTCTATCAGGGACCGACGTAGCATGGACACCAGACTCTATCAGGGACCATCGTAGCATGGACACCAGACTCTATCAGGGACTATCCCAGCATGGACGCCAGACTCTATCAGGGACTATCATAGCATGGACACCAGACTCTATCAGGGACTGACGTAGCATGGACACCAGACTCTATCAGGGACTACCGTAGCATGGACACCAGACTCTATCAGGGACTGACGTAGCATGGACTCCAGACTCTATCAGGGACTATCGTAGCATGGACAACAGACTCTATCAGGGACTATCGTAGCATGGACACCAGACTCTATCAGGGACTGACGTAGCATGGACACCAGACTCTATCAGGGACTATCCCAGCATGGACGCCAGACTCTATCATGGACAATCCCAGCATGGACACCAGACTCTATCAGGGACTATCGTAGCATGGACACCAAACACTATCAGGGACTGACGTACTCGGCATGGACTCCAGACTCTATCAGGGACTATCCCAGCATGGACACCAAACACTATCAGGGACTGACGTAGCATGGACATCACACTCTATCAGGGACTGATGTAGCATGGACTCCAGACTCTATCAGGGACTGACGTAGTATGGACTCCAGACTCTATCAGGGACTATCGTAGCATGGACACCAGACTCTATCAGGGACTATCGTAGCATGGACACAGGCTCTATCAGGGACTATCGTAGCATGGACGCCAGGCTCTATC